GGTTTGTTTGAAAATGTAAAAAAATGGTGTGTTTAGGGGATGACGACAACAGGGGAATGTAGATACAGACAAGCCATTCCTAAAGGTCTTGGAGGACTTCTCGACATTGACTCCAATTATGGATTTCGTAAACAGTTTCTTCCTCAGGTATTTATTATATTTTGACTTTGTTTTATACGTAAACGGATTATTTACATAAACAACAAACACTTTTTTGTCACCTTTCAGGAAAAAAAACAATACTATAGAGTATTAAATCCAAATAGAATTATTAAATTTTTAAAAGGATTTCAGAAACGGAAAAAGATTGATTTGAAAACATTCCTTTTGCTTTTTCTCGACATTATTTGAAAATATTACTATTTTCAGAAATTGGTGTTTTTCATAATCAACCTTGCTTACATGTATATGGCAGTTTATATAAATAAAGCTTAGCTGCCAAATGTATGTTTTGTAATTTTTAGCTTACGATTTTTTAAGTTTAAAGTTTAAACTACACTGATCGTATAAACTATACCTACTATATTAGCGTTGGTTATGTAAAGAATTACAATAGCTTCAATATTATATATCATATAGATCGCATGATCCAGTCGCACCAACTAAGCTACTTTTAATTGCAACCACCATTTCGAATCTTTAATCAATTGTTTTAAAAACTTTGTGGAAGGTTTTGTGACATTGGGTGTTGGTATCTCTTCGGCTACACGTGTCGTTAGAATCATATAGCAATGGTGGATTCCAATAGAAGTAGCTGACTTTGCACATCCAAATTACACTTGTCGGTTTACTAATAATAGATTCCAATACACTAGTGACACATATAATTGTAGGTTTAGGATCGGTCCTGTCGTGATATTTCACTATACAAAAACATAAGATTAATAATTGGTTGTTTTTTGTAAACTTTAGAAGTATATGATGTGTACAATATATCCATATTCAGTTTTTTTCTCTTAGTGATATCAAACTTCTTCAAAACTTATAATAACAGTACAAATCATTAACGAAATTTGATCTAAATTATCTCAACTCTCTTTCTTGAAAGTTAAAGAATTAGTTCTTTATATATAATTTTTTTGATAGTTTTGGTAAACAAAGTATAAAGGTACTATTAGTTCAAATAATATGTGTCTCACAGAACAAATGCTCAAAGTATTGGTAGTATCCAAGATTGGGTTAGTTGGTAATGTTTTTGTTTTGGTGGTGTTTTTGTTATTGTTTCGTAATTATATACGTGGTTGGTCTATGCCTGTGGGAAAACAGGGGAAGAGGAGATACACTCCTCTACGTCAACCAACGTCACAACAAGTGATCGCCGACACAATTTCCAAAGGTCCAACCACAGTAATCCTCATAGGATCCCACACCAACTTCGCATTGTTCTTGATGTCAAATCCTCAACTGAAACACAACATCCAACACATTTACATCATGGGCGGTGGTGTCCGGTCACAAAATCCAACTGGCTGCTGTCCGGCGAACTCCACGGCTGCTGAATGTCAACCTCGACAGTGTGGAAACCGTGGAAACATGTTCACAGATTATTCAAGTAATCCTTACGCTGAATTCAACATCTTCTCTGATCCTTTCGCTTCTTACCAGGTTCGTTGTCCTACTCTTTAATCTTCTTGACAGAGACTTATTTGGTTTTAAATTTATTATCTAATAGTTTGTGATGTTTTTACACATATATATATATATATCACAGTTTGTTTAGACTTTAAAAAAAAAAAAAACTAGACTCGGTTTGTGTGTTGTTATAGGTGTTTCATTCAGGTGTTCCAGTGACTCTGGTTCCTCTAGATGCAACCAACACAATACCTATCAACCAGAAGTTCTTCGAAACGTTCGAGAATAACCAGAGAACATACGAAGCTCAATACGTTTTCTTGTCTCTCAAAATCGCCAGAGACACTTGGTTTGACGATGAATTCTACAAGGTAATCACATTTATGAATATTCCATTTCCCCAAACTAATTAATCATGAACGTTTTCAAAACGTTCTTTTTCTGAAAAAAGTTGGTGATATTCTCAGAGTTACTTCATGTGGGATTCTTTCACGGCTGGTGTTGCAGTCTCAATCATGAGAAACTCTGTTAATAAGAACAACAAGAATGGTGAGAACGATTTCGCGGAGATGGAGTATATGAACATAACCGTTGTTACCTCAAACAAACCTTATGGAAAATCAGATGGCTCAAATCCATTCTTTGATAATAGAAGAACTCCAAAGTTTAACCTAACCCTTGGAGGAGTTCATAGTGGTCATGTTCAAACTAGTTTGCGAGATCCAACTTGCATACCAAAAAGTGGAAAAGGACGAGGGAAGTGTAAGGTTTGTGTTATTTCATAATATACCTGTTCTTTTAGGTTTCTGATTTGGTTTTGTTTCAGAGTAAACAATACAATCTTAACCTCTTTAATGATTAACATTAGGATGGTTACACTCAAGAGATCTCTGGACCTGATTCAGTTCGTGTTCTAGTCGCGACGCGAGCTAAACCGAACATAAACATCAAAAGTAAACTTGACAGAGAGTTCTATGTTGATTTCCTGGAAGTAAGTTTTCATAATCTCGCACAAATCTAACCTAGATAAAGTTAGAGATCACACTTTTTCATGTAATCAAATTGCTTACATAATGAACAGGTTTTGAATAGTCCTGAAGAAACAGGGAGATTTAACTTTTCATCTCAGTTTCCTTACTACAAAGAAGAATTGTTTAGACCAAATCTTAGCAAAACACGGCTGGGAAAGCCTGTTGTTTTCGATATGGACATGAGCGCCGGTGATTTTCTCTCTCTCTTCTACCTTCTCAAAGTTCCGGTGGAAAAAATAGATTTGAAGGTAACAAATAGCTCCATTACAACGATTGTTTATTACACAAGTAACTAAGTCAATATGTTGTTTTCCTCAATACCCTAACACCCACTATGTCTTGACTCGCAAGGCTATAATTGTAAGCCCAAACGGTTGGGCTAATGCGGCGACAATCGACGTGGTCTATGATCTGCTTCATATGATGGGTCGAGATGACATTCCAGTTGGTCTAGGAGACATATTGGCATTGAACCAATCTGACCCGATTTTCCCACCGGTTGGAGGTTGCAAGTACGTCAAGGCTGTTCCACGAGGCTGTGGCGGATTTTTGGATTCCGACACACTCTTCGGTCTTGCTCGTGATCTTCCGAGAAGCCCTCGCAGGTATGTATGTGTGGTATACATCAGTGACCAATTGATGAGCAAAATGACCTTCATCTCTTATTTTGATGTGAAATTCTTAAGAATATGTTAATATTTCTACAATGATATGGTAAGGTCATTTTACGCAAGATATATATCCACATATTATGCAGATACACTGCGGAGAATTCAGTGGCACATGGAGCTCCGAGGGACACTGATAGGCCTGAACTCCGACAACCTCTGGCACTTGAAGTCTGGCAAAATCTGACCAAACCTGGTAATGGAGTCTCTAAGATCACTATACTTACAAATGGACCGTTGACTAGCTTAGCCAAGATCATCTCATCAGATAAAAAAGCCTCCTCACTAATTAAGGCAAGAAACTTTCTGATTCTTTCTCTGTTAAATTCCATCAAGATCCTAGATTTAACTTAAGATGGCTTCTGTTGTAAATTTCAGGAAGTTTACATCGTGGGTGGACATATCAACCCTGAGACATCAGACAAAGGGAACATATTCACGATCCCTTCGAATGCATACGCTGAATTCAATATGTTTCTAGATCCTTTAGCAGCTAAGACAGTTCTTGAATCCGGTCTAAACATCACACTCATCCCTCTAGCAACGCAACGGAAGTTGAGCTCTTTCCAAACAATGCTTGACAGACTATATTCCTCTAGAAAAACACCCGAAGCTTGGTTTGTGAAGCGGCTGATTGCAAAACTGCAAGCTCTTCATAAGAAACACAGGAGATACACGCACATGGTAAAGCACCTCTTGTCATTCTGTTTCATCTTATGACAAAAGCAAAAAAAAAAAAAAAAAAATCAAGAGTAGTCAAGAGCCTCAGCTCAGCTGGTTTTAAAAACTAACCTAAATTGTTATTGCAGGACATGTTCTTAGGGGAAATTCTTGGAGCAGTTTTCTTGGGAGGGGATCAAGCTTTATTGAAGCCACAAATGCGAGCTGAGCACATAAAGGTGATAGCTGAAGGGGATGAATCGGTAGATGGTAAGATATTGATTGATAAAGTGCGCGGCAAACAAGTAAAGATACTCGAAAGAGTAGATGTGAGAGGCTTCTCTGAGAGTTTTGCTTCTAGACTCGATGATAAGAAACAATCTGCAGTCATAGGAAGCTTTGAAGAACAAAAGAAGAAGTGGAGCTCACCACCAAGCTGACTAAACATGTTGGCATAGATTACTATGTACAAGAATAAACCAGATTATATTTTATTCAATTTTTTTTTTAAACTTGTTTCTTATAGAGTATCCTCTCTCTAGAATAAACCAAATTTGTTTCCCTTTTTCCTGAAATCTCCCATTTAAATTTCAAATAGTTATGTTTTATGTAATAAAAAAAATAAGAAATCTGGAAAAACAGAAATTTAGAAAATAACTCTGATTGTCTAGATTAATATTCTAACGAATTATTTTTAATTTAAGATTTGAGGAAAAATCCTCTATCCGTATTAGTTTTTGATTGTTTTTTTAAAAAATTTGTATAGAAAATGTTGAAAGCCGACAGCCATATTGTATTACGTATCTGATGACAAAAAAATATCTTAAAAATATATTAGATTAGTTCTAAATTTAAAAAAGAAAAAAAGTATCAACAGAAAAATATATAGATTGCCTTAAGATTTAGATTAGTTACTTAAAAAGTGTAACGTTATTAAGATGATGTTTTCTTAAAAATAATAATAACCTTGTTGTTAACCATTTTAGTCAATTACTTTATGTAGTTACAGATCTTGAGTTTTGTTTTACATTCAGGCAAGAAACAGAACTCTCTAAGCTTCTTCCTTGTGATGTTGAACCCACGAAAGTCCATTCTCGTCGTCACAATTCTTGGGCTCTTAACTCTCGTCGTCACAATTCTTGGACTCTTAGGTTATGACTTGGCATGTGTTATGTCTAGCCCACACCGTATTCTATTGGACACAGATGTCGACACAGACGATTTCATCGCTCTTCTGTACCTTCTGAAGCAAAACAAAACAGAGTTCGATCTAGTGGTGAGCTTAAGCACATTACTTCGGCCATCATCCCTTACTTCCTTCTTTCTTAATGCTCTGTTTTGCTGAAACAGGGGATAACATTGAGTGCCAATGCTTGGACAAACGCAGGACATGGAGTGAATCACATATACGACATTCTATACATGATGGGTCGTGATGATATCGCGGTTGGTGTTGGAGGTGAAGGTGGTATTCTCGACGACGGTACTATTCTTCCTGACGTCGGTGGTTATCTTCCCATCATCGAACAGGTTTTTTTTTTTTTAATCTTGGTAAAATGTTAAGTATACAATTTCTTCTCTTCTGTCATTTCTAACATTTTTGCATATACAATAGTAATTTTAACATGTACCCAGGGGTGATCACCACAGTAAGTCAGTAACAATATTAATCGAGTATGTAGAAGATGAATTGAATAATTTGTATAGTTTTCATAGTTTTAAGATACTTAAAAATAAAAAAATTACTTATTGATTACAGGGGATGACAACAACAGGAGGATGCAGATACAGACAATCCATTCCTAAAGGTCGTAAAGGCCTACTCGACATTGACTCCAATTATGGATTTCGTAAACATTTTCTTCCTCAGGTATTTTATTTTCTTAATATTATCAAGAATGTTTTATCCAACCAAAACAATATGATCGACAGAATTAGGTTTAGAGGCCTTTTTTACTTAGTTTCTTTTGTATAAAAAATGTTCAATATGGCCACATGGTGGAGATAAGTGTTCTGACATATTTTCTATTTCAAAGATGTTTGTTAGTCCAGTGGTTCAACCTATGTTTAGCCATTCATGCATTTTATAAAATTAGAATTTGATATGTCTAACAAATAAAATATTTAACCAAAACAATTAGTGCTCTTATTACGTAAAGAGAATTTGTACATAAAATTAAAACATGAAATCGTATGTTTTTGTCTTTTGGTGGGAAAAACAGGGGAGCAGAAGATACACTCCTGTCTTGCAACCAACGGCACAACAAGTAATGGTCGAGAAAGTTTCAGAAGGTCCAATAAGTATCTTTGTGATGGGTTCTCACACCAATCTGGCTCTCTTCCTGATGTCACATCCTCACCTCAAACATAATATCCAGAACATTTACATTATGGGTGGTAGTGTACGCTGTCCAAACCCTAGCGGATTCTGTGGAAACTTGTTCACAGATTTCACTAGCAATCCTTACGCTGAGTTCAACATCTTCGCCGATCCTTTCGCTGCTTACCAGGTTTTCAGATTAATATAAAGATATATTATATGTAGTAATGTGAGTGTATTGTGTTTTCTTCAATGTTGTTTTATGTCCATTATATTACAGGTGATCCATTCAGGTGTTCCGATTACAATGGTTCCTCTAGATGCAACCAATACGATACCAATTAACAAAAAGTTCTTTGAGATCTTTGAGATGAACCAAAGAACATACGAAGCTCAGTACATTTTCTCATCTCTGAAATTCATCAGAGACACTTGGTCACCTGAAGAATTCTACACGGTAATATACTAATATAGACCTAGCTAGTTTCATATGCATCCCATTAGAAGTGCAAATATGAGTAATTAGGTTATGAGTTATTTCAGCCTGGATTCAGTTTTTAAGCTATAAGTTAGGTGAATCATTTCTGTTAATCTTAGCTGTACCCGAGTGTTGGTACATGAAATAAAAATGTATATATCCATACTTTTGTATAACAAGTTTTAGGGAGCATGCATGGTGTATATCTTCTTTTTCCATCGTTCTTATAAATTCATGATTCGTTTCTACAAAATATGAGCATTTAACTAACTTAGCCATAGAATTCATCGTCAAGATGTTTGAAACGCTGTCTAAGAAGTTATGAAGTTTAATTTGGTTTTTTATTTATTTATCAGAATTACTTCATGTGGGATTCTTTCACTGCTGGTGTTGCAGTGTTGATCATGAGAAACTCTGGTAACGAAAACACCAACAATGGTGAGAATGATTTTGCGGAGATGGAGTATATGAACATAACCATTGTTACTTCAAACGAACCTTATGGAATATCCGACAGTTCAAATCCGTTCTTTTATAAAAGAAGAACTCCAAAGTTTAACCTTACCCTTGGAGGAGTTCACAGTGGTCATGTCCAGAGGAATTTGCGCGATCCAATCTGCATACCGAGAAGCAATAAAGGAATGTGCAAGGTGCGTATGTTTCCACATATAATCCTTTTTTAATTTTAGTGTACACTAATATATGCAAATAATCTCTCTTTTATTATGCTCACATTAGGATGGCTACACACAAGAGACCTCCGGGCCTGATTCAGTCCGTGTTCTTGTCGCAACACGAGCTAAACCGAACATAAACTTCAAAAGTGATCTGGATAGAGAATTCTATGAAGATTTCTTGGAAGTGAGTTTTTATGTTCTCAAGAGGCAAAATATCTGCCCTAAAAAATGTGACTGATCAAATGTTTATTTTAAGTACTTAATATAATTGAGTCACTTGTCTATATATTAAATAGGTTTTGAATAGACCTGAAGAAACAGGGAGGTTTAACTTTTCATCTCAGTTTCTGTACTATAGAGAAGAGTTATTCTTAGCAGATCTCAGTAACACACGGCTAGGAGGGAACCCTGTTGTTTTTGATATGGACATGAGTGCTGGAGATTTCCTCTCTCTCTTTTATCTTCTTAAAGTTCCGATGGAAGTTATAGATTTGAAGGTATGTTTTGAAGGGTTTAAAACCATTTCTTTCTACACAAGTTACTAGGTGAAAATGTAACCCTAAATAAAAGAGGGATATAACTATTGCTTTAAACACAAGTAACACTTCAGCTCTCTGATATATCACTCTAAATTCTTCTATAGGCGATTATCGTGAGCCCAACAGGTTGGGCTAACGCAGCCACAATCGATGTGGTCTACGATCTGCTTCATATGATGGGACGCGATGACATTCCGGTCGGTCTAGGAGATATGTTAGCATTGAACCAATCTGAACCGGTATTTTCATCTGTTGGAGATTGCATGTACGCCAAAGCGGTTCCACAAGGCTGTGGCGGTTTTCTTGATTCTGACACTCTCTATGGCCTTGCTCGTGACCTCCCAAGAAGCCCTCGTAGGTATCTATATATACACCATGTAGCAAAGTTATATATTACATTAGGTCTCTTACTCTTTTTTTGACGTTAAATTACCAACATTATTCTTTAGAAACACTGCAGAGAATTCAGAGAAACATGGAGCTCCGAGGGACACTGATAGGCCTGAACTCCGACAACCTCTGGCACTTGAAGTTTGGCAAAATATTCTGACCAAATCTGTTAGTGAAGTGTCTAAGATCACCGTACTAACCAATGGACCCTTGACTAGCTTAGCCAAGATTATCTCATCAGATAAAACATCATCCTCACTAATCAAGGCAAGAAAGTTCTGATACTTTCTTTGATAAGTTCAATCAAGATCCTAGATTTAATTTTAAATGGCTTCTGTTGTAAATTGCAGGAAGTTTACATCGTGGGTGGACATATAAGCCGTAAGAAATCAGACAAAGGGAACATTTTCACAGTTCCCTCGAATGCATATGCCGAATTCAATATGTTTCTTGATCCTTTAGCAGCTAAGATAGTTCTTGAATCCGATCTAAACATCACACTCATCCCTCTAGCAACCCAACGCAAGTTGAGTTCTTTCCAACCACTGCTAGATAGACTGTATTCCTCAAGAAAAACACCGGAAGCTCGGTTTGTGAAACGGCTTCTTGCTAGATTGCAAGCTCTTCATCAGAATCACAGGAGATACACGCACATGGTAAAGCCTCCCTTGTCATTTTGTTTCATCTTTAAGACAAATATGATTTTGGCCCTGATTGTTTTCAAACTAACCCTCCCTTGTTGCAGGACATGTTCTTAGGGGAAATTATTGGAGCAGTTCTCTTGGGAGGCGATCTTGCTACATTGAAGCCGAAACTGCGATCTGAGCAAATAAAAGTGATCGCTGAAGGGGATGAATCAAAAGATGGTCAGATATTGATTGATAAACTGCGGGGAAAACAAATAAAGATACTTGAAAGAGTAGATTTGAGAGGTTGTTATGAGAGTTTTGCTTCTAGACTCGATGATAAGAAACAATCTGCAGTCATAGGAAGCTTTGAAGAACAAAGGAAAAGATGGAACACACCACAACCAATTACCTCTCAAACATTTGATTGAATTTATATGCTTACCGATTGCTCTTTCCTCAAACTGTTTAGTTCAATGCTTTAATTAGACAGAAACTACAAAGAGAAGAAAAAAAAAAAAAAGTGATATCCTATGTGGTTTTGTGCCACTGGCCAGACAGGACACAGAGTTGACAATACCAAGAAATACACTTATATTATAACCTATAGAGTATTTGACTGAATCTATATGTGTACTGTTTACATATTCTTCTTTTCAGGGACATTTATAGTTTTACAGAACTCTCCTTGGAACAAAGTTCACCAACAACAACAACTCTACAAGAAACAACAACAAAAGAAACTCCAAAAAGCAGAAATTTTTGAGAGTCTTATGGCACAGAACAAGAAGAAGAAGAGGTAAGATTAAGTCTAACAAGCCTTACAACTTCGCCTGCAATAGCCAGGAAGCTCAGTAGTTCCAACCATGTACTCTGGGTTCTTTGTGCATTCCCCAAGAACTGCCCATCTCTCACAGCTCTCGTTCATATCCGTGCAGTTTCCACTTGGTGTCACAATCTTATCGAATGAGTCCACGTGGATCCACTTGGTCGCCGACCATTTCTCTCCTTCGATGACGGGGCATCCACCATGAAGGCTCAATGGGTCCGGGATTGCATCTGGGTGGAGGTTGAAGAACAACAAAGCATCCCCTTTCCTTGGTCTCACTAATATAAAATTACCCATACAGACACAAACGGTCTAAGATTTCTACTCAAATATCTTTTCTTTCCAGGAAATGAAGAATTATTATTATCTGTTTAGTTTCTCACCGGCGATTCCTCTCTTGGCACAATCAGAAAGGTCTTCTTTGTTTTCAGAGAGTACTCGGCGAGAAGGTACCTATAGAAATCAGATCTGTATAAGAAAGAATGACACGAGAATGATCTTTTAGGGGAATACTATGCACAAAAAAATTGAAAGCACTAACCTCTGCATCAGGGAATACTGTTTCTCCACCTTTCGTCACATTGGATAGATACATGAGAACCGTTGCTATGCGGTGTCCACCACGGACAATGTTGACTTTGTCATGAAAGTAATCAAAATGAGCATCGTATTTTTGACCATGCTCGTATCTCAATACCTGAATGTCTTCCCCGTTTTCTGTCACCACAGAAAGTAACGAATTCAACATAATGAGCTTTCAAGATTTTTCAATAAGAAATTCAGAGTGTGTTGTACCTTTAGGAAGGAATGTCCAAGTGGAGATTTTATCTTCTATACCAGAAACAATGGGATCCTGTGATTCACAAAAGAAACTTCAGGTGTAAGAGTAACAGATCACGGTAGTCACAACGATGACACAACATTTACAGATCTGAGTCCAAAAAAATTTCATCACTGATTACCATTTACACACAAAAACTGTCCGGAACAAATTAGCTAGCTAAGTAACAATCTAACATAATCATGAGGTCAATCTTCCAACTTCCAAGATCCATCATAGCATAAGATGGTTTCGAGTTGTAATCCACCAGAAATTGGAGTTTGAACTATCAAAATCTATCATTTGCAGGATCAGCATCTACTTACGCCAATTAAGACCTAAGAAACACGATCTATTCCAAAATCGAACACGTCAAAGGGAGAGAGATCCAGTTTCTACTTCGAATTAAAATTCTAAACTTTACCAGCAGAGTAAGAATTAGGGAAGCAAACAAAGAGAAAAATCGAACCTTTCCTTTGGAGATAAACGTGCCAGAGCTGGTTCGAACCTCGCTGAATTTGCTTTCTCCACTATCATTATCAGCAACAGCAGATCTCTTCAAGCTCGCTTTTGCCTTTTGCAACACATCGAAAATTTAGAATTTTTAACAGAGAAAACAAAATAAAGTTTCTAAATTAAGCTCGAAAACGAAGATGAAACAACTCACAAGAGAAACCATATGATCACATTCCAATTCCGTGAGAAACCCTTCATACACAAACGCCCTGAACAAAGACAAAAGTATCAAATTTTCCAGACTTGTTAACACTGCGAGCTCAAATTTCTCCAAAATCACTAAAGGGTTTCTAAGCAAACCTGGGTTTCGATGAAACCTGTTTGACTTTGGAAGGATTGATGAAGACGCTAGAGGAACTAATCAGGGAAGTGGAAGATTGAAGCAGGACGGAGAAGATAGCGAAGAATAACAACAATAATTTACAGCGAATCATCGACATCGCTTGGATCTGAGATGCACGAGAGAGAAGAGTCCGTAGAAGGAAAGAGATCGGAAGATGGGGAGTAAAAATTTGATTTCTTTTTTTTTCCGGGAAAATAAAAGATGAAAGAAGCTTTTATCGGGAAAGTGTTTAACGGTGGCGACAAGTTTATGCTCTGCCTAACGATATAAAACGACAAAACGCACACGTCGCACTGCGTTTCGGTTGGTTCCGAACCGAACCGAACCTGTTCCTTCCGAAAGCGCCGGTCTAACTGTGGTTAAGAACCCCAAAATAACACTTTACAAATCAAAATGTATGAACTTTTGAAAAGATTTAACTTAAGAAACGTTGAATTGTTTTATTTTATGTTTTACTTTGTAAATTTTTGTGATAATTTTGAATTTTTGATATTTCTTTTTATATTTTTAATTATTATAAAAAAATATTTGGAGTAGAAGATATGTAGATCGCATAAATAATTAGCAGACTACGAATACCTAATCTGAGTCAATTTTTAAATAATATTGTTAGGTAGGAAAAACGAATAACACAAACTCATGCCAAAAAAATAATAGTAACAAACAATAGTTCAATTCAAAAGATGGAAAGAAAGAAAGAATACAACATCATGATCATGATCAAAAATACATACACCATGTTACAACATATTTTAAGCAATATTGAACTTATTCAGTCCTTTCTCTACTAACTTAATATCCAAATCCTGATCGGATTAATCCCGCAATCCTCATCAGTCATATATAAATTCTATAGTGAAAAAATATGTATGTATGTATACTCAAATGAAATCTTTTATCTTGCGTTTAAATTAGCAAGTAGGATATTTCAAGAATCCTTGGATGTTCCGAGAACGGTCTCCATGTGTCGATGTATATCGTTCAAATATCTTGTCGAGTTGTATTCTTCGTTATCCAATAGCTCTTCAGAGTAAGTCCTCTGGAGTTTGGCGTTTTCTCGCTCTCTTAGCTGATCTAAGCTGCACTTGTCTCCCCTCAGAATCTGCACGATCTGTGTATATATTACATATGGGACCAAATTAATTAGTCACTTTAGAAAAAGATAAGTGGTAGCTAAATGATGGAATCAAATGTTTTGTTATATGCATGCCTGGCTCATTTGAGGCCGGTTCATGGCGGTTTGGTGTATACACAAGGAAGCTATGAAGACAAGACGGTCCAACTCTTCTACGTCGTAGTCATCTCCCAGAATCGGATCAACAAGTTGTTTGTTCTTCTTCTCTTTGATCAATGGCTTGGCCTGGAAGAACATATATAGATATCACGTATTATCAATACAAGCCTATATAGGACCAATATATATCCAGGATCAAGAAAGCATGAACGAAGGATCATATCTAGCTAAGGCTTAAGAGAGGGTCACATCACATACCCACATGACAAGGCTATGTTGTGAGCTGTCAAGGGCTTGTCTACCGGTAATGAGCTCAAGAAGCAGGACACCATATGCATATACGTCTGTTTTTTCGTCTACTATCCCGTGCATGAAGAACTCAGGCGGAAGGTAACTGATAGGCACATATATAGGAGATTTTGTGAGATAGGTACATTAATGAAACAAATAAGATTTGTGAATTCGTGCACATGATCAATATCAACTAGAGAGATTCCAAACCCGAATGTTCCTTCGACTTTTGATACGGTATGGTGAGTCCATTGGTCCGGTAGCCATTTCGCTAGCCCGAAATCAGATATCTACGGTCACAATGATACAATTTATAATTTATTCATGTTTCATAATAATCATATCTAACTTTAAAAGACTATTAGCTTCTATTAATAATCATTACCTGAGCCTCAAAGTTCTGAGTGAGAAGGATGTTAGAAGCTTTAATATCTTTATGAATGATCCTTCTCTGACAACCTTCATGGAGATAGTACAGTCCCTCTGCTGTTCCCATCGCCACTTTGTATCTCACGCTCCAATTCAATCTTTCCTTCGCCTCTAAAGAAATGTTAGAACCATCTCTGTTAGTTTTTTTTGTTTTAATCCAAGTATAGCTTCAAATGACTTTTGAAAATATCAAACAAAAAGAGAATTATCACCGTATAGTAAAGAAGCGAGGCTTCCATTAGGAGAAAGCTCAAGAACAAGATGCATTCCTCCTTCAACACAATAACCAATAAGCTTAGCAATGTTTGGATGGTCTACATGAACTATGATCCCAAGTTCGGATAAATAATCCATCGTCATCTCTTCTGCAGAACCTCTGGTCAACTTCTTTATCGCCACTATTTGCCCATCTGGCATTTGTCCTTTATAGACCTCAGCATATCCTCCTTCTCCGATCAGATTCTCTGCCATACATAACATCCACAAGTTTCATGTTACATCATCATCTCATAAACAAGTAATATTATTCTATCGATCGAAAATGTAACAAAGGGTCCGGACCACGGCTGTAGGAATTTGTGGCGGTTTGAATATCTTGGAGAGAGAAGTTTCTCCAGGAGGGTTTGAAGTAGAACAAGTCATCAGTGTCAAGAGCAGGTATAACAGGGACCATGTTGTCTCTTATGCGTTTGCTCTTACGTCTGGTGAGTTTGGGGACTCCTTTAAGAGGTGTAAACGTGTTGAACGGCATTGCGGATGATCCTTTCTTAAGTAAACGGAAGAAACCTTTCCAATGACCGTTGTTGGGGCCTCCGGACGAATGATGATGGTGGTGGTGGTGATGACGATGGTGACGATTAGCTTCTGATGATGATGAGTCTGACGTACTCACCACGGAAGATGATGCTTCGGATTCTATGCTCCTTAATAAGTCATCGTTTGATTCGGGTTTGTCAGGGCAGAATGTTGTTATTTCTTCATCTGGACAGAATGATGATAAATCTGGTGCAGCGGAAATAAATTTCATGAGATCTTGTATATAGCCATGGACAATGAGATGTTTATATAACATATTGATGTATTACCATGCGAAGAGAAAGAATCAGAGAAGCCGGCTCGAGATCTTCTTGTAGAGAGAGGAGTTAATTGTTTTCCACGATTCTCAACGTCTACATCGCTGCGTTTTGTATCAAATTAACAAACAAACAAAAACTGAGTTATTTTACAGATGACTTGCGAGATACGGTACATGAATCATTTTACAAATCTTGTTATGGTCTTATGGAAACAAGGATGTTTCTGAACCCGAAACAAAAAGTATATATCAAGAAAGAAAGTTACCAGGCGGAGGGAGACGAGGAAGACGAAGTCGTGGAAGAAAGAGTTTGTAAAGAGTCTCGAACGCCTTCTTCCATGGATTGGAGAAAGAAATTAAGACAAAAAAGGGAAAGAGAAAGAGAGAGAGAGAGAGAAAGAGAAAGAGAAGAGATGATCAAAGACTAAAGAAAAGAGAGAGAGAACATGATCATTGGTGTTTTTCTCTCTTACACCTCTTTTGTTAATTCTCTAAATATACGCATCTTCTCTCTTTAATCTTTTTTTCTTCTTCTTTCTTAGAAGATGAAAATAATACTATCCATATTTTTTGCATTTTAAAACAGTTAAAATGGCCAGAGCATATCCTCTATAATTCGATCAATCCTAAATTTAGAGTAAACAGACTAATTTTTATTTCCCCATTTCAATTGTCAACATTCTACTTATTTGGAGAGGCAGGTCAATGTTTCTATATATTAATTCTCCATGCAAGAGGAACATACAACAACAATGACCATTTCTCTTTTTCGATTGCGATAGCTCCCACACTCTGGTGGGTTAACGCCACGTTTCACAATGAGTTTCAGGACAAGTACCCGACAAAACAGGTTAGTAGTGGACCTGAACTCATTTAGATACAACCTTTCTTAACTTTATCTACATGTCGACGACCACTTTTATTTTTTATATCAGAGCTTATATAATACACAAAATAAATGGGCTTGGGCTTTAGGTTCAAAATAAACATAAGCCCACAAGAAAACAATTGTCCTGAGAAACGAGGAGGAGAGTTGTGAATTTTCTCAGGTGAAGAAGGAAACCCAAAAATTGGGGTGTGAAAAATGGAGAAAGTGACGGAGAAACCCAAATCGGAGACGACGATGCAAGCTCCACCTCCGCCGAACCATCAGATGGATGCAGACGACGACGACGAGAATGTGAAACAGCTAAAGGAGTGTTCTTCTCTGTATTTGTCTTTACAGGTTTTGTGTTTTGTTTCCCCAAAATCGAGTAATCAATCAATTCACCTACCCCTGTTTTTGATTACCTTAATCTTCAACGAATCATCTTCTTGCAGGATTGTCTCGTTGATAGCAATAGGGATTGGAAATCTTGCCAGAAACGTAAGTCACTACTAGCTCAAAATCTGAGGGTTTTAGAGTTTGATAGGGGTTTAGGTTATTAACTTAATCGAACGAAATTTGGGATTTTAACTATAATTGTGTATTGTCTAGTTATGTATGAAGTAAATGTTTGATTAGCTTGTGTTGTTTGTCATGTGTGTTTTAAAAGATGTTCAAGCTTTGAAGGAATGCCATGAAAGGAGAATGAAGAAATGAAACAGAGATTAAGTAAAGCTACATCTGATTGATTAGTTACTTCTTATAGAGTAATCCCATTTTTGAATAAAGAACGATTCTTTTGTATTCCTCTTTGTTGTGTGGTCTTTTGAAGGATTGCAAAATGCAAAAGCTTTCATACAATACAATGTAATCTTGGTTCTTTTTGTTAATTGCACAGAACCTTTCTCTTGCTGTTAGTCATCTCTTGAGTTCTTTTTATCTGAGACTTAATAAGAGGGTAATAAGAAAACAGCGATGGTGTTGTGATGTGATGTTTCGACAGCTTTGTTTGTTTTCTTCCTAGTCAAATTCGCGTTTTGCTTTCTTTGAGTTCTGAACATTTGACTCGTCTGCAAAAAAATCTTAATACATCACTCTTCCAGTCCTCGGTCCTGTTTCTCAAAGTTGTAAGAACCCTAAAGGCTCAAGTGTAGAGCAAGATTTCTAGTGGGTTTCTGAGAATACTTGGTAGATCCTGGACTGGGACCTGAACTTGTAAAATTTGTCGTGTGTATTTTACTTTACTGCTTATTCCGCAACAAACGAGTGAAAGAAAGAGTTGAGAATGAAACCAGCTATAACTAAGTTGAATAAGTTCATTTCGTATAGGTCTACTTCTAAGTCAGTCACTAATTTAACAACTTTCTCGGTTCATATTCCATATCCTCCATATCCTTTTAGTTACATGCTGCTTCTCTATGTTATGATTAGAGTATGAACCGCGTGATGGTTCGAAAGTATACAAATTCTTGGTGAAGAAGAGCAAAGAAGCTTTTATATAAAAAAAAAAAAAATTAATTTTGATTATTAATTGGGATGAACTAAGATAAATTATGTTTGACAGTGAAAATGTTATACTTTTTTGCCAATTATTGTCACGTGCAAACTGGATTTTGATATGTTGGGGGTGGGAAAATTTTACATGCGTGATTATCAAAAGTAATTAGTTTCTTTAATTATTTTTCAGAAGGTCAGCCAGCAACAACAAAAAGTGTAACCTTACCTTTTTGGCCTTTTCTTTGTTAACTGGATTAATTGGACTTTAATTTGTTTACCTAAAAATTTCATTTCATTTCTTTTTGTCTTTTCTTATGGTTGTCTTAAAGTTAAAACTTCAATGTCAAACACACAAAAGAAAAGGCATTTGCCGCCAAGCCCTTATTATTATGCAAAATTTTGGGGTCAAAACTTTTAACTTTTGGACCCCATTATGCATAATTTTAAGTCTTATGTTTATCATTCTTTGATTATCCTATGCTTGACCGTGTTCGATGTAGTGGTTTTGCGCAAAAATCTGTGACAAATCAAAATAACTATGAAGGAGACAAGCATGCAACAAAATGATACGCCAGTCCATACTATAAATTGGTAAAAGTAAACGATGATGCTGACAAATATTAGTGTTTATCTTAGTGTGGTGCCAATACTAACTTGATGAGATATGTTTGCTAACGACAGAACATATCTAATAGTACTAGTAGTTAAAGAAGGATCTTTTGGAAATGTTTTGCAACATACTTCACATCATGATTAGTTTAAGTAAAAAGACTTGTTAAGGGTGGTGAATGAATTTGTAACCATATAAGAGTAAGAACGATTAAACCGTATATCAACAGTCTGATATATAGATTTGAAGATAATTTAAACCGAAGATATATAATGATAAAGAAACAAACATACGAAAAAACAAAGAAAAAAAAAAACAGAGCAAACCATTTTTACCCTCTCCCACTAAAATCCTACAACACTGAACCTCAAAAATGCTTTTAGGCGTGACAATGCCACAAGGTGCAAAGTGGGGTGCATGATCATACGTTCCCACTTATCACATATCCCTCTCCTTAACCCCAAATCAACCAATCATCTCCTTCCACGTCATCACCTATTTCTTTTTTTCGTTTTTTTTCTCCTCTCAGCTAAATTAAAAAACCTAATTTAAAAAACATATTTTTGTCCTTTTTACTCTGTCTCGCCGGCGATGACTATTTACGGCGAGGCGTGAACGACTGATAAACCACTGTTCCGGAGCCTGGAAACTCATCCATAATACGGCTTCGGCATTTAAGACCAAGCTTCTTAGCCAACACGCGTTCTACGCGCTTCGTCACCTCGTTGTTGTAATCTTCTCCACCGTAAGTGGTGGCGATCGAGACGTCGCTTGGCCGGAAAACATCAACGGCACGGCTTAGAACCTCAGAAATATCTTCGTGACCGTCATCGTATAGAGACAAACCGCACTCGAAGCTCGCGTAGCTAAAACCGTCTTCAGGCGTGACGTGGATGGTTGAGTAACGGTCACCGTCGACTCCGTTCATAGAGTAGCCGCAAGGATCAAACGCGAAGTCGCATATAAAGGCGTTTGCGTTTATGTTATCGATACCACTCAGCCGCGTCATCTCTTTCCCTGCTGAGTCGCTGTTGCTTTTCTCGTCGCCTTTTCGTTTAAAGAAGCTCCGAGCGTTGACTCGGTCGAGCTCCGTCATGCAGACTTCGACTACGACGACTGTCTCGTCGGATTCCACGTCAGCACTGGCTGTGAACACGTGCCAAGCACGTGAGGGGTTATTAGAAGGCGTCATGACGGATGCTTTACGGTAGCAGAGAGATTTGGGAAGGCTCTCTTCGACGACGACGACTTCGTCTTTGAAGCTTGTGTAAGGGAAAGGTTGTGCTTTAGGGAAGATGAAACTGCCGCGCGAGTAGCGGCACGCGCGTAACGTAAGGCCGAGGTTACGTGCGAGATGGATCAACGGTCGGATTGATTTGAGGAGTTGGGTGGTGCCGCATGTTTTGATGATGATTTTGGTTGGGTAGACGAAGAGGCTTGACTCGGAGAGCACGTAAGCGTCGAAGCTACGGTTCGCTACGGCGGAGACTACCGTGCACTGAACTTCGTTTAAGACTTGGTCTAGAGATTCGAAGTCTATTAGACGGAGTCCCATAGGGTCTCTGGCGATAGAGTTTTCATCGTGGAAGAATCGAAGTTCGAGTCTTTTCTCGAATCCCTCGAACCCAGACACTGCCATTGCAAAGATCAGAAGAACAGAAACAGAGGAAACAGAGCTGAGGAGATGTGTTTTGTGTTTTGTGTGTGTTCAGAGAGAGAAGAGAGAGGTAGTGGTGATTAGTGGGAGAGAAGTGGTATTTATAGGAGAGATTCTGGAGGAGGATAGAGAAGGAGGAGCATGCGGGTTAAGAGACCAAGAATCATGATTGTAGGCATAATGAACGAGAAAGATGATGAGAGTTTGTGTTTTGTTTTTCTATGTATGCATGTTTATATATATATGTATGCGTGTATATATGTATCTGTGAGAGATCTTTAGTTAGTGACTGTGCTTCTGATTCTGTTCTGTTTTCTTTTGTTTTATGTAATGAGAGTGAGATTTATGGGATTATGCGCATGCAAAACTTGTTATGTTTTTTTTCTTCTTTTTTAAAAAATTGTCCATGAGGTGTAATATTATGCTTAGCTAGTTCTGGTTGATAATATTGCAACATGCAAAATCATGAAAAATACAAATGTTGAATTGAACGACATAATTATTCTACCAAGAAACATGGCCTAACTATGAAAATTGCGAAAATCATGTATATATGGGTCATTAAAATCGCTGAACTACGAAAGCGGATTAATGTAAATTTTTGATTCCGCTCCGCATAATTATGCTATCAGTAAAACTAAAAATAATCCTCAAAGACAGTTAGACGTCATTCGAAATGTTTGCAACAAAAATGTATCGTTTCAAAAGCTAACAATCATGTTAATAAAAAGATTGACGATATTAATTGATTATTAAGAATCAAAAGAACATGACATGAACAAATTTTTAGTGGTTTATATCCTGATAGTAACATGCTTATTTAGGCAATGCATTCAACTTGGGATTTCAGATACCATTCCACGGAGTTTAAAGATTTTATTTCTACTTTTTTTTAAAGAGAGTTTAAAGAAGATTGTAGAACCTTGGCAAAAGCTTGTGTACATAAACAAACAAACAAAGAAATTTCGAAGGGTGAAATTTACTTTCACAAGGAGAAGAAACAATCGTACGTTGAGCACATTTGTTTGATGAGATGAGCTTGTCAATAAACTTAGATTAACTAGTAACATAGGGAAAATATATATAGTAAGAAAACTTATGATAAAATTTAGCACAACCCGCATTAACGATTCAATTCAGTAATCCTTATATTGGTTCAAATCACACCTGTTTACGTATCACAATCATCATGCCAAAAGGACCCATCTTCACTTAAAGCCCATATTAAACAATATAATCTGATTAGCCATAGACACATACACACTATATCGTGGACAAGACACAAAAGATCTTGAAAGGCACAGGAACAAGTGTCTACGATAAACATCAATTTCAGTGGCTTGTGTGTCAAACAATCGCTAATGCACGTAAAAGGACAACCAAAACTATTCTTTTTCTTTCCAATATATCTACGTAAAAGTGAGCTGCTTTCGTATTTTTTTTTTTGTTCCTTTCAAAAACAGACATATTTAAACGTTGGGGTTAAAAGAAAAAATTGGTTACATCTTTATTGATATTATTGTGTTTTTTTTTTTTTTTTTTTTTTTGCCACCGGGTTTTTATTGGGGATAGTAAGGATAACGGCCTGAGATTTATTTTGTCGACAATAAGAGAAAAAATTGGAATTGAATACTATAATACATAGCGAAAAGAAAGAATATAATTAGTTGTAACAGGAAGCTCTCTTTTGTTTGTTGGAAAAGAGAAATGATAAATCGTGTGCTAATTTGAAGATGATTTTGTTGGGGGCTAACTTTAGAGAGACCTTATTAAAGTTTGAATCATAAGTAGACTCCATTTTGTTGCCTTAATAAGAATCATTCACCATTTACCCCTCAATTCATTTGACCACAACTAGTTTGGTCATATCCTGAAAAGGGATCGACACTTCTACAACTTGAAACACAACATATATTATAATCATACATTAATATAATTAAGTGACATCAAAAGAGAAAATGGATATATATACTTTGAGTGGTACTTTCAAATCAAGACGGACTAGTATTTATCTATAGTCGCTTACCATACACTTAATTGTAATATAGATAAAAGTAAAAGACGGACTTGCTGATCTTGTCGTCAAATATATACACTGTACAGTCTTGTTAAGAAATCAAGATCAAGTAAGATTATGCTTAAAGTCAGCTTATTCATCCAGTAAATCTATGTGAGTTAGATTCACAAAAATATCATTGCAACTATATATAAATAAATATGTAATCACCTTTTTTACTTCAATACACATACGCGGGTGTTGCACGTCTCCGACTCATACCTAGCTCCTTTGTTTACAATTAGTGTATACGTAAAATTAACTTTTATAATTTGTAAGTTGACGTCAACCATGTGGTTTGATTGATTAAGAGCTAAGAAAGTAGTTTAAATTTCAGCAGGTGTAAGTGTAATAATACCTTTTTAACATTTGTCGACGATGACGGCTAAACCAATCATAAATCAACTCTTAAGTTTAATACAATAATTAATTAATGTGTATTTGATTGGATTTGTAAACGTATGTTTTGTTTATTTAGCAGCTGGTGGTACAAAAAACAAAAAGAGTCACATTATATGTACTAGCTACTTAAATTACAAAAATAAAAGAAGATCAGGCGTGGCAACTTGATAATTATATAGTATAGTTGTTTATTCCTTTTTTCAATTTTAATTAGGAGTGAATGAAATGAATGCTTCGTTACGTGATACCAAAAGTGCCCTTTCAACATCATTTCTATTCTCCATGCAATGTTGTGTCTAACTCTCTATTCCGGCATTATCATTATCTATAATTTTTGTTAACATGAATTATATATTATCTGTCAAAAAAACATAATACTCATTATATATTTATATTGTGTGTGTACATTAGAAGAATGCAAAAGTATAAATATCTGACTCGTCGTTAAATTCTAAGCAAATATTATTGCATCCCTCCGGCTAGCTAGCTCTGTTTTCATGTTTTCAGAAGTTTTTAATAGACTTGTGTATAGTTGGATAGTGGTATTGAAAATATCTCTTATGATTCTATAGAAATACACAATATCAATTTTTATATAAAACAAAAAAAAGGTTTGCAACGTATATCTTAATGAAATTAGAGGATAATTTTGTTTTCTCAGTGATGAACTCGGTTGCGTTGCTGCATTTGGCACGAGATATTTGTATCAACAATTTACTATGTCATATATCACTTACAAATTGTCTTTTCCCCAACGATATAAAAAGAACATTGTTTCTTCCAAAATATGTATATAAAAAAGAATATTGTAGCACATCCGCTTAAAATGTCTTTAGGTCAAAATCAACATGACTAATTTTTTTGGTTTAAATGTGTTCATGGTAACCACTCACACTTATAATCTCATCATTCGAATTTTTCCTCTTTCCATTTGACTATCAACTACTACTTTCCTTTCGTTTTGCTATGCACTTATATGTTTTCTTTCCTATGCTTCGTATACTATTTGTGACATTTGTGAAACATTAACAATCCTTATTTGGAATTGGTACGTATATCTCTAAATTAGTAGTTGCACATTTTTTTTTTAAGATATAGTTTTAAGTTAGTTATATATACAAATGTTTCGTGTCGATGGGGAATATATTCGGTTAACGCATGAATCAATTGAATTGCGCGGATAAGAACCTTTTGAATCTTGATCAATGCTTTCATTCAATCTATATGACTAAAGTTAATGTAATAAATGTTCCCATTTAATTTGGTTAGACTAAATTATGGCGATTATTACATAGTCACCAATATACAAGTTCATAGGTGAAAAGGGTTTGGGACCAGATTAGTCTGTCAATAACTTTATACACTAAAAAGGAAAAGTAATCGATTGATCTAATGCTTAAAATTTCTTCCTCCTTACTATAGATAGTATTCTTAGCTTTTAATTTAAGACAGTGTATTTTTTTTTTCTAAAATTTACCACAGTTAATAATGGATCATAGTAATACCTAAAACTAATAGTACTCTGGTAATTGAGTTTTTAGAGTTGTACAGAACTTATATTGGTGTAGGCTCTAAACTAAACTGAACCAAACTGATCCAAATTAAACTAAATGAAACATACACACATTGAGTTAGGTTTACTTTGGGTTTAGAGGCAACTCTCATTCACGCTGATCAAACCAAGAAACCAACATAGCTAGTGTGGACTAATCTAAAGTACAATAGTTTATATGTAATGTATAGTTTATATGTACTTTAGTTCGGATTCGAGTAAGAACGAACATAAAATAAAACATAAACACGGTTAAGAATTGATCAAGATGGATAAAAGAAGACGAAAATAAAAGAGGAAAGGTTTATTACTGGTAGGAGAGCAGTAAGCATTATGACCACAATCCCACATATAGAGAGCTGCACGCGCACCCACCAAGCTTCTCTCTCACTTGTCTCTTCCATCACTCCAACACCCACACATCCTTGTTTATTAATCAATCAATTAATTAAAATTAGTTTACAATTTCATATACCAAAAAGAGGAGAATATTCCACACCCATATCTTAGGTTCACAATAAACAAAAGTTAAAATTCCATAAGATTAGATATATCACTTTCACCACTCATCCCAATTAGTTGTGTAACATGCATGGATATAGTGGATCACTCCAAGCGTGCCCATCTCATCTTCATGACATTTTCTTTTTATATCTGGAATAGCTCATTAGTCATTACTAAGTTTCTAGGATTGTCCAAAAGTACTTACGAACAAAGACCAACTAGTTTGTAACACAAGACCCCCAATTATATCAAATCTGTATTGAAAACCTCATTTATATGATATTGTTGATGAGATTTTACATGATCAGTACGTAGTTTCTTTATTTTAGCATCGAAGGTTTGTGGTCGTTTTGGGTAAAGACATCATGTTAGCTTTTGAAAACTGAGCTGGTGAAAGTCTATGGAGCAATGGAGTTGATAATTCGAATACATTGTATCATACTAACATACATGTCTCAAATTAAAAAAAAAAAAAAAAACAGAAGGGTCAACCATATCGATTACATAGTTGTACCACGTGACTCAATTAAACCATACATTACATATAAACTATATAATAAAAAGAAGTCTATGATTTCTCTAACTTTGAAAATGTCTGCGACACCAAAAACTATTCTCCACAAATTCTATCTTCTT